AATTTTTAAATACAGAATCATTTTCTTTATTGTATTAACACCACTTTATGCAATGTCAACATAATTCCACACCTATCAAAATAGCTATAACTGAGAATTTCCTGAAACATGTCAAAATATCACTGCTGTATTTTAGAACATCTAGCTATACAGCAAAGTGTGCATTTCACATATATTTTGGTTTAGTTATTTCCACTTGGTTTAGAAATCTATTCTAATTCTTATGTCTGTCATAATACGAAAAATATGAATCAGATCCTACAAACAATGTTAAAATTCCAGTGATGAGTGCATTTTGTGCAGCTCTACTAGGAAATTGGAAGAGTTAATTTAAAATAACGCATTCCATGGCTGGTGCTGTTTTACTAGTTCAGGACAGAGACAATGCCGTTCCCTGGGTTTGTTTCAGGCTTGATTCACATACCATTTACTATTCAAATCACAGCATCTTAGCAAAAAAAAAAAAAAAAAAAAAGTTGTGAAACATCATGCTTTCTTGAGTCACTGAAGAATATGACCTGTTACTTTGAAATGGTTGTTGAAAACAAAATTCAACCAAAAACTGGCTTAAACAGTTATTTTTGCATTTCACTCTAACTTCCTTTGTGCCATCATTTGAAAATTTCTTAAACCGGAGCTGGACTCGCATTGAATCTGAACAACTCCAGTCACTGCTGAGGTCAGCCTGGAAATGAACTAAAAAAGACTGAGCTTTTATAATAACTCAAAACTGCTTAAGTGAAAAGAAAATGCAGTTAAATTGCTTAAGGTTTGGAAGGAATTCCAGGCCAACCAGTTCCTTCTGTGCTGGACCATGTTTCTTGGTGCCTGCTGAGCTCCTACAGGCCGGGGAGCAGGTCCTGAGGACAAGGCCAGGTGGGCTCTTGCTTTTGCATGGGACTGGTGCTCTGGACCCCACTGAATCCTGAACTCAGCAGGAGTCAGGCATAGCCCTGATACTGATAAGCAGGCCTTCCCTTCAGCAAATGCGATCAAATGCTCTCCCTGCAATCTTGTCGGAGTGCTTGGCCATGACAAGTAGTAAGGTCAACTCCTTCTTCTATAAAAGGCAAGAACCCCTGTCATGTTGGGAGCTAGGAAAACAGAATTATAAGTCCTGTTTGAGTTAGCTGCTTAGCTCTTCAGGCTTTCTACTAGAACTATGTCTTTTACAGTATCATGGAAATTATACACAGAGTGAACTCTGCCCTTACATTCATTCTCAGCTAGAGGAGGTTCTTGAAGTTTTGAAGATGACTTCAGGACTGCTGAGATTTATTTCATGTGGGAGAGATCAAACGCAAATACCTCTAAGACAACAGTCTCTTCATCATAGCTGAACAACCAGGAAGGTGTGAAAAGCTCATGATGAAGTTTTGGGTGGCACAAACTTCATGTATGACAGCCACCCAAAAAATCTTGGAGAGCTACCATACAGGAGTTTCAGAGCTGTGAAACTGGTGCTGGAGAACTCCAAACAGAAAATAAATGTCTTGATAAATACTGTTTCAGAGGTAGCTGGTACTGTATTGCACAGCAACACACACATCCTCAGGATTTCAACACAGGCACTACAAATAAGATAGATGACAAAATAATTAGCCCTTTTAGAGAGTTATGCACCACATCAAACTCTGTTCCAACTCCCTGGTACCCTGGACTATTGAATAGTCTGCCAGCAAATGTTAGATGTTGGAGAAGGTGCACTGTGGAAGTACCAGTAAGGTCCGGCATTCCACAATAGCCTAAAAGAAACTCTGCTTACCTAAAGTCCAGACAATACTTTCCAGTATATCATCCAGACCTTCCAATGAAATGTAGAACTCTTTCAAGTCAATATCCTGAAACATGAGCAGCCATTGAGGTTCCAGATAAAGAACTCATTTTTGATCCTGCTAAAGTAGTGCCTGGACTCACCTTACCATGACAAAATGCAGCTGAGCTTAGCTGTATCCAAAAAACTCACTGAAGCAGTGGAAATCTTCTACATGACATAAAAGACGATGAACTGCATTACAACTGTGGTAAACTTCAGACTATTACCCATGTCATTAATGACTATGTAGCACATATTTATGCAGCGGCATAAAAAGAATTCATTGGCCCTCCCCAGACTTGACTGAATAGCTCAGTAAGCTTGGCGTGAATTTTATAATCTGTTGCTGCTTTTGAAATGCGGTTCTTGAGAGAGAGAGAGAGAGAGAGAGAGAGAGAGAGAGAGACTAAGGAGTCCTGAGAAGTATTTCTCTTCTCCATTGAAACAATTTCCTTCTGCCACACCTAATGCTTGATTAGTCATTGGTGTCTACACATTTCTTACTGAGGCACAAATCCTGCTAATCATAGATCAAGACCTAAAACAGATTCCACTGTCCAGAGCAGCACATGAATTATTGCTGAGCTTAGTTCCTGCATTTGTTCATATAGCTGTTTCATTTGACACTAGTATCTAAGCTATTTTTCTCTAGTTATTTCAGATATGAAACTTGCTCTACAAAAACAATCCTTTACATTTTACAGTCCTGCAAATGAAGATTATGTATCCATTAACTTTGTCATGAATCTGACCGACTATCCAACAAAAAGACCATTTCTCATTCTGAAAGTCAAGATTCTAAGTCCTTTTTTATTCTAAGTACTTTTGATATGAGCATCTTGCCTTTGATTTACAGTTACCATTACATCTAATTATACTCGTACAGTGTAGAGCAGAAGAATTCCTAATTTAACAAAAGGCTCCTTCATTTTAGTAAAATACGTAGTTTCTGTTATTTTAACAGTGTTAAACACCAGGGTGAATCAAAAATGAACTGTTAAACTGGATTAGCATAGTTAGATGTAACCTGAAATAAACTGAATCTGATATCCTATCAACAAAGAAACAGCTTGATTACAGCACTCCATTATTTTTCATGTAGGTGAGACTCTACAGAAGTGTATTCATTATGTACACAATCATAACTGATAAGACTTTAAAAGTGGAAAGTACACAGCTGGGAGAATTCACATCCAACAAAATACATAAGCAGCTGAATAAATGCTCTTCCATCATTTTAATGTTCCAAACGACTTGGTTCTTTTCACTGCTGATCACTACATCTCAAATGTAACCTAGAATGTATTCAGGCCTCAGATGTCTCCTTCCCTTTGGTTAATTCATTTTCACATTTTGCCTTCTAAGAATACATATTTGGCAGAACTGTAAAACACAATCATCTGTCAAAGTCTTTATTAATCCAAGTTGAAGCAGCAGGGTTTTTTTTAAAGCTGTGATGTTATGAATACAGGAAAGGTGAGTTCTGCAGTGACAAGTGATGACTTTTACTAAACCCAGCCCAGGGACCAGACTGGGGGGAACTCTAGCCTAAGAGCTTGTCCATTATTCTCAGTTATATTTATTAGCTGGTCTAAATAAAGCTAGGGCCTCCTCTAGACTTTGTCTCCAGTACGTTCTTAGGCTACCATGCTTACGACAACCCTGTTACTGTAATTTGGATTAATGAAGCACTTACTTAACAGGTTGTCAGTTAACCTGACTTCTGTTTCAAACATCTGGAAATGCTTTCTTTCTCCAATGACCATGATACGATAATAATTCCTTCAAAGATCATAAGATAATAAATCCTTTATAGATAAATATCTGAAGTTAAGCAGGCTGAATAGAAACTTGAGATTTTGATTTAAAGCTCTTTGACGTCAGCTGGAATACTTTAAATGATTTCAGAAGATTTGGAATCAAAAAAAATACATAGAAGCATTTTATTAGCATGAGGAATCTCACTGACTTCCGGACAACAAATTGTACTGGATGTGGCTTCCCTGGAGCCAGCCATAGTCCTGGTTCGCCTGTCACTTAGCAGAAATCAGGGCTTGAGAACAGCACAGCACAAATACAGATTTAACCCTGGCCTCAAGTTGGGACACAGCCTGAGTGCATATCCACACTCAGAATCCAGGATACACTCTCCGCCTCTTCAGTTTGCACATCTTTTATAGTTCAGTCAGCTACTGGTAAGGAGAAACACTGGTTTTCATTATCTGATGGTCTTAGCTATGATTGTTTCCAAAATCAAATTCTTACAACTTTGAACCTGAGAATCTGGGCAGATCTCAGTTTTGGTACCCCTTTAGGACTTAGTCTCTTGTTAATGTGAATAAAATTATTCAAAGAATCTCAGAAATCTTGGCAAGATAAGCTCTTATTCTGATAAACTGATAAAAAATCAGAAATATCAAAAATGAAAATCAGTAGAAAAAGAAGGAAAAAAGTAATTCTTTCAGTTACAAGCTAGTCATTCATTATTCTTAATACTGAGAATAATGTAATCACAAGAAAAAGGCATTTGTCTAGCCCTGTAAGCATTCAACACTAGCAAAATTACTTAAATGAAAAGGGAAAAAACCCAAAACTATGTACACAAAATTAGCACGAGAGTTAGCAATCAACTGTAGTTCATACAAGGTTCTTAGCAGATAGCATCATCTTTATTAATAAATGATGAACTGCTTAGTGGAGTTTTTGCTTAGTGATATCACCATAATAACAGACGCATGTTTTATTTATATTTCAAGTTCCATCCCAAATAAGCAAGTCATTCACTGACAGATTCTCTCTAACATCTGAAGACTCTTTACCCCAATTTAAACTTTCATTGATCTAGATGAGATAGTACACCATCAAAACCAAGGGGACTAGTAAACAACTTCAGTTGCTGTGCTCATCTTTGGAGATATTGTTCCTGTGATATAACAAAGCTAGAAACTGCATTTCTTAAAGCTTGCTACACTTTCCTTGTAAGGGTGGTTATTTTTTCTCTGTGGGATACAGTGCTATTTGTGCAGCAGATTGTATTTTGACAGATGCAACTGTATCATAAAAAGGCCCTTAGCACTATCAGACTGGTAGCTCGCAAACATTCATGAGCTCCAGGATTTCATAAAGAAAACCCACCCACAATTAAAACGATTTTGAGAGTATAAAATGCCCCCAAGCCACTTACCTCCCCCATGCCAGTTTGCAGAATTTTCAGTCCAGTTGTTTTTTCAAGCTTCTCTTTGTTTATAGCTGTAAGGGAAATTAAGATTGAAAGAGTTACGGGAAAGCTGAAATATGCATGATTTTGCAGCATTTACAAAATAACCAACCTTCCCTTCTATCCTCAATCAATAAATTCACTACAGTTCTTACTTATGTGATCCATGGGTTATCTTTCCCTGATAGCAGCTCTGCTATTCAGTGTTTTGAATGCATAAGAATGTCATTAATTGTCCTTTATTATTTGAAAAAAAAAGCTAAACGAGTTCTGCTTCCTTGTATACACTATATCAGCTTTCAGTTCAAGAATGTTTCAGCAGTTCTCTTCAACCAAATTTTCTCAGCATCTTCCCTTCAGCGAGGCCTTGTCCCACTAGCACAGCAGCACCTCACCGTTACAACAGCAATATCACTGCATAGGATGTGTACCGGCAAATGACATAACCCTACCTAGCAGGTAAGACAAATAATTTGTCTTGCAATTTCGGGATGCAACGCACACCATATTCCTTTTTCAAACTGAGATTTTTCCTGTTCATCAGCTTCTATCTCAGTTAAATTGTTAGTATGGTCTTCACACGATTTTGGCCCGTGTGCACTCATAGGCTCACAAAACAATGTCCAACTGGCGTTCTAGGGACAGCACAAAGGAGGGATTATTCCCAGCTGTAAGTATGGGTAAGGTCACCCTGTTTTGGGTGGGAAGAGTCAGCTGGATGCACGGCCAAAAAATAGGCACCTGGTTTGTTTTAATTTATTAATAGAAATAAAGCCTTACAGCCCTGTTACAGCCTTATAACCCCTCCTAACTTTGGCCATCTAGTCATTGACTATCTAATCCAAGCTAGTAATCCAGGTTCTCTCTGTAGTCAATGAAAGAGAAGGACATCTTAATACAGTAAGTCATCCCCCATA